AACCAATCCAAAATCCTGGTGGGTTTGTTTTATTGGAACCTGAACCAATTTCTTTATCTGCAATAAATTGACCTTCCATTTTATACGTAATGAATGTATTGTAAAGGTCCAACATATTTTCACCAGGAGGTGAGAGATTGAATGTTACCCATGTGTTATCTTTAGCAGTTCCAGGTTGTGATGGAATCTTTGCGTCAGAATATTTTCTATTAGTGTCACCAATTTGAACTGCATTGTCTATGATATCGAAATATGAGCGAATCTGATGAATATGCTCTGCTGGAGTAAATTCGTTTAACTGTTCGTTCTGCATGTATTTACTTCAGATAAAAATATCTATTTACTTCATTATTCTCACTCTTCTTCTTGGTATTCGTGGTGGAAGTTGTTTCTTGACATTTTCAATGAACTGTACATTCTTTTTGTCTCAACTTCTTTCACTGGCGGGTCAGGGTTCTTTGACTCGGTTTGTTTTTCAATGAAATTCACGAACTTTGCAATAAGCTCTTGGTTCGTTATTGAAAGTACATCTGGCTTCTTTTTCTTCTTGTTCTATTGACTTTTCAGTTTGAAACAGAAGGTTTTATATGGGCTTCGTGGACTTCACCCTTGCCATGCACCTTAATGTTGTCGCTCTCTGCATTCGCTAATGGAACCTTTCTTTTCTTACGTATATTTTACCATCTTTACTCTGACTTACGTAATAGAAAGGATGTTGTATTCCTCTTGCGTCATTTAATATAATAGACTCTCGCTCTGATTTTGACAAGCTCATTTTACATCGGTTAAAGTTTTAATTTTGTTTTTTATCTGCAGTCAAATGACTCAGACAAGCCCTACGGACAAGACCCAAGGGGTCATAGATGTTGAAGCATTGAAGAAAGAAATTCGCGAGCAAATTTTATCCGAACTGAAGGAACAAAAACAAGAACAAAAGCCAGAGAGACCAAAGAGAAAACTTAGTGAAAAACAACTGCTGCATTAGCTGCTGGAAGACAGAAGAACCCACGTTTGCTGGCGAAAAAAGCTAGAGAAGAAGCAAAAGCTAAAGAAGCTGAAGCAAAGAAAGAGTAAATGGTTTATTTTTATCCGAATTAAATGTATAGACAAATACCTTTATCTGTTGCGTTCAGTAGTGAAAACCCTGACGTCAAAATAAAGGGGAACAGAGTAACGTTTAAGTTTCCAACAGACTGGATTGTGAACATAAATGAAGAGAAGTACATTGGCATAACATCTATGTATATAACACGTGCTTTCAGAAAGGTTGACTTTATACTTCAAGTCGAGATAGAAAATGACGAACAGTCTTTAAGCGCCCAAAACATTCACATATACAAATACTTTAAAGACGATACAACATTGTTGCAATGTATGATTTCATTTAATGAGATGTTCGAGAAAAAGTTCAACATTGAAGTACAAACTTTACAGCCTTTACGTGAGTTTCTTGCACAACTGAAGGAAGAAGGTAGTCAGCCACAACTTATAGACTTTCATTATGAATTTAATGAAAATGAAGATGGAACTCATGACTGTCATTTTGTATTCTCACCATTCAATGAAGTAGCTAAAGAAAAAAAATCCATTACGTATAAGATTTCAAATCTCTGAACCAATGATGACTTCAAGAATGTTTTCAATTATGATGCAATGCTTCCGAGGAAAAATGAATTTTCAAAGATTGTAACACCTGGCATTTGGGATAGAAAGCAAGCTATATTATATTCAAACTTAAGTAAGGGAGTTGAAAATGAGTTCATTGGTCATACAAGAACTTCACCACTTCCTAACCCTAAATACTATAAATTAACTGGCTTCAATCGTGAGTTTTGGATAGACATGTTCTCCACTCATGACCATAATGCCCAGTGTTCTTACCTCCAGACCATAAGGACTGTCTCTACATTGAAGCACAACTCTTAAACTCTACCATCGCAGTATTGTAAAATCTACGCTAGTTTTATTTTTTCTGAAAATTTTTATTTGAGTGAAAGGCATGGAAGGTGAAGGACATTGGCAAACACTCGAACATGACAATGACTATGAAATCTTTTCAGAGTACCCTTATCCAATTAGACGTATAAGCAATAAAAGAGTTGTTAGTGAGTTTGACCAAGGAGATGGTTATATTTGTGTAAATTTAAACAAACACAAGCTGATGAAACATAGAATAGTTGCAGAAACTTTCATTCCGAACCCTGAAGGACTTCGTGAAGTAGACCATATAAACAGAGACAGAGGAGACTTTCATATCTCGAACTTAAGATGGACGACAAGAAGAGAAAACATGAGAAATATTTCTGGTTCAAATGGCTATTGGTTTGACATTGTTGACTCTCTTCCTGAAGACGCTGTTGAAATTATACAATACTCATATCACACGTTAGAGAACTACTACTATGTCCCAAGTGAAGATGCCTTTTACTATTTCATGGGAACTCAATACAGACGAATGAATGTCTTAAGACAGTATAACAAAGATTATATAAACATTACAGATGTAGAAGGAAGAAGAACAAAGCTGTCTATTGCAAAGTTTAAGAGAGACAATGATTATACATAAATGACAAAAATATATGACCTCATTATTTTTATCACGAATGACCTCATTCATGACCTCATTCATGACCTCAGAACTTAAGCTTTCTTATGAATGAAGTCTTAGTCTGAATAGAAAAGTTAAACTTTTCAGCAAAGCAAGGACTAGAAGACTTACATAAGTCGAATGCAATCTCTTGACCGTCATAAAGTGCTTTATATAACTGCATAACACTGAACTCAGAGTCTTTGTCAAATTTTCCTTGCGGAACCATTAAACCTTTATCTTCATCATAGAAACACTGAACAGAGTCAGGAAACATTTCATTAGCGGTTAAAGCAATAACATCTTGCTTCACGCCTTTCATTCTGCAGTGAAATGCAACTTCATTTAAATCGTTAGTGAGTAAGTCTATGTAGGTCTTCTTTCCACAAAATATTGACTTGTATGCTAAACTTTGTTTTCCAGGTGTTATTTCTGCGAAGTCACTATGAAACTGACCAAGGTTTTTACCAATGAGAACTCTTCCATAACGTTTCTCAAACTCTTCAGCTAAACGAGGGATATCTTCATTGTAGAGATGCATACTGTCCGTATCGCTATAAAAGATGTCCATTCCTAAGTCCTCAGCAGTACAGAATACTTCACACATTATTCTCTTCGACATAGACAGAATGTTAACACCAAGTGGACAGAAGTTAAAGTGTCTGCAAATGCTTTTCGTTAGCTTGAAAATAGTTTTATCTGAACCATCCAAACCTTCGAACTTCACTATATGGTTGTAGTTTCTGATGGCATATCTTATAGCATCTTTGTCATTTACTATGGTTATTTTGACTCAATAGGAGATAGAATAGTTTTGCCATAAATGCTGTTCAGAATGAGTTTTATAATTTCTTGTAAGGGTTTCCTTCTTTCTTATACTTTAACCTTAACTCAAACAACTTCTTTACTTCATCTCTTATTCTCATATCTCTGTTTCCATCGTAATAGTATCCTTGCAACACTTCACATTTGACACATTGATATTTTATGAGGTCTTGTAATGTTATATGGTCAACATACATTAAACAGCAAGTGTTTGAACTTCTGGGAACGTTAAGTTCTGGATTTAGTTCAGGGTCACAAACTATTAAAGGAAAGTGTCTATGTATTCCAATCTCTGTTATCTTAATGAGAACAAAGAAGCCAGACATAAACTTTTCACCAATGGGTTCCTTTTGGTCGTCATCGAATAAATGTCTCATGAGATACTCTGTGCTTAGCATCTCATCCTTCATAACCTTTGGAATTCCTTCTAAAGTATAAAGTCTTGCTATAGCTGATGGATATAATGAAACAGCGTCGAAGTCAGCAATGGTTTTCTTTTTGCTCTTTTGTTTCATGTTATCTGACAACATACATCTTCCACCTTGAATGCATCTCGAAATAAATTCTCTTGGTTTATTTGAGAGGTCATAAAGATTTCCATTCGGGAAGTACACTCTGTTCTCAAACAATTTGTTAGCAATAGAACAAATACTAACGTAGTCATAAACGTTTAAATCAAACTCTTTCAATAAGTCATTGCGGAACTTTACAAAACCTTCTCTTAAAATTCTTACATCTTGTTTGCAGTAAAACGTGCTATATTTTTCTAAGTCGAAGTGGTTTTCATCTATTCTGCAACCTTTGATGGAATCTATGTTCTTCATAAATGTATCTGCATCATGGATAAACTTACACGCTTCAGAAATGACACCAGTTCTGTTGTCATTTGCTAACAAAACACTGCTGTAGTAGTTGTATGGAAATACTTCTTTCGGTCCTGTTTGTAAGTTAAACATAGCAGGAAATAGTTTAAGCTTCTTATTTATAACACTATAAGAGTCTTTTATAATAATTGCCCTTCCTTTATATAAACCAGTTATTTGCATTGTTCGTGAACCTTTAATGATGGGAGTTCCTTTCACTTCTGTCATGTGTCTTAAGATGAAGTTTATGTCATAACTGAGGTTGTGAAAATATATTAAACTCTTGTCAGGAAGTCTTTCCAAAAATTCTGTTGCACAGTTTTGACCCCAAATACTTTCACTAACTGAACCATCTTCACTGTCGTAACATATGTTAAAAGCTTTATGAAAGCCATCCGTACTACACTCAAAGTCAGCAAAGAAAACGTGCTCAGGTATGAATTTACATTTAGCTTTATTTACTTCTTTTGACTCTGCTTTCTTCTTCAGTTGTACACAATACTTTGGAGCATATGTCAAATCTTTAAATGGTGCAAGGTTCTGTTTATATAAGTCAGTAGTATATGTGAAAAGTTCTCCATAAGAAATAGGTTCGAAATATTTGCACTCCCACAATGTTTTCATAACATCCCATAACGGTGTTGTTCTATCATAACGAACTACATATTTATCTTCTCTCTTTGTATAAATCTTCATCTGTTTCTCAATGTTCATTCCACCACAAGCTTTGAGAATTTCTTTATAGTTTCGAATGAAGTATGTTGTCATTGGTAATCTTTCATTTAGCATGTAGTGGTCTTCAACAAGAAGTAAGTCAATAGTTCTAACAGTTTCGCATTCTTTTGGTATATATCTCTTTATTTCATTATGTCTTGAGTCATTGAAATAACCAATGGTAACATTAAATGATATACCTGTTGAATCGGAAATTTCTTGTACTTTACTTTGAGGAAAGTCTCTAACACGAATGACTTCTCTCATGTGGTCAATAGTTTCTTCATTTACTCCAGCCTGAATGCAAGCATAAACGAAACAATTGTCCTCTGTCATAAGTGTTGCAGTTCTTTTGTTCAGTTCATTGAAGATTTGGTAGCGTTCAAGATTTATAGGTAATGTGCAAAGATACTTCCAGAACTGACCGCTTCTCTTCTTATAAAACTTCTTTTCACCATTATCTTTCCAAAAGCTTTCTATAAGTGCTGGGTTTCCTGTTTGCTTAAGAGCTTCCAAAATGGCTTTCTGGTCATTTGTCAGTGTGCTTTCATCTCTATATGGTCTCTTTTTTGGTTTGCCTTTCTTTACATCTGACATCGTTAAGCCTTCATATTCTGTTAAATCATACATCTTTATTTCAGTAAGATTCTTTATGTTTGTCAAGAAGAAGTCATAGTGCATTTCAACAATACCTGCAGCATTTGCTTCTATCTCTGATATAAAGTTCTCCTTCAAGAGCTGATGTAGTAATGTTCCAATATTATTGAGGTTTAACGTAGAACATTCATACTTTCCACCAAGTTTATAACATACCATCCATCTTTGTTGTGAGTTTATTTTAATTTTCTCTAAGAGTCTCATGAAAACCTTACCGAAATGTTTGTGTAAGTAGTCTCTGTTTGGTTCATCTAAAGCTTCGATGTTAAAGTCAATGAGTCTATTGCCTGACTTCACATTTCTCTTCCTATTCTCTTCATCTTTCTTTAACCATCTCTCACCTTCTTTGGTTTGTCGTCAATGGAACGAATGACATCGTTAGCTTTGCGAACTTGTTCTATAGCACTTTAAACATCTCTCTTCTCTGTTGTTTCAGGTGTATCTCTCTTTCGTGTTTCACCAACGTTTGCATTTGTTATGTCAAACATCTCTCTTCTTACTTCATGAGGTACTGAACGTCTATGATATAAGTCAATAGCAATGTCATTTAAAGGAAATGCTATTGCATGGACTTCGTCCTCGCCGCGTTGCGGCTTTATGAACTCATGAATTCTATCATAACTTATTGCACCATTATAGTCTTTAATGAAGTCAGCGAGTGCTTTTTTGTTTGTTGCGTAATGCTTTGCAACATCTATATTAGCTTCTGTAAGAAGTTGTTTTATTTCCGAGTGTTCTAACTTAGACAACTTCCGATACATCTTTAGTAGGAAATAAAAAAATATTTTTTGAAAAAATTAGATTAGATTTTTTTTAAGTTATTTTCAAAATAATTTAATATTTTTATTTTAATAAACACATGCAAGATTGCAAGTTCTTTTCATACAATGCTCTCGCTACTGCCATCAAGAATGAGTTCAATAATGCTTCAAACGTTAATGTTATCTTTAACAAGAAGTTTGTGAAAGAATCTAAGTTTGGTCAGTATGTCAGACCATTAGCTATCGTCATTGACCGCAAACGTTATACTTCACAAGAGTTAGCAGTAGTTTTGAAACAAAAGGGTTTCTTCGTGAATGTCAAAGATACTCATTATACTGTTATAAAAGAACTCCAACATTGACTTCTTCAGTATTGCTATGAATCTTTCCGAACAGAAAGAATATAAGAAGGGTGAAACAAATGTGAAATATTATCCTTCATCTCTGAAGACAATAACGAACAAAGATGTTATACAAAAGTTCTTACCAAAGGTTGAAGAAGCTTCAATTGACATTGACGAAGGAAGTGAAATGGTTGAAGAAATTGACCCTGAAGCTATTTAAGCAAAAATATATTTTTGTATAAAATTTCAAAGCATTGAACAAAAAAAGTTTTTTTATTCTTCCTCTTTGAAGTTATCAAAATATTCTGTTATTTTTTCCTTCAGTAATGTTAAGTCTTCTTTGAAGGTAAGTATTGTGCAACCTTTGATGTCATAGTGTGTTGAGGAAGAGTATTTTTGACAATTTCCTTTATTTGCTCATTAGGTGTCATTGGAAAATCGGTAAGTTTTCACGATAGAACCAGTTTCTGTCAGATTTATATATTTTAGCTAAGTCATAAAAGCTCTTGTTGTTTCTTCTCACTAAATGCAACATAACCATATCTCTGTCTTCTTCATTCTCCAACTCTTCAGTATAAATCATATACTTATAGTTCTTTTCCTTTCCTTTTGTACTGAACGCGGTATTCTTTCTGAATGCTTTTGTCTTTGGATCAATGACTTCATCTTTTGCTTGAAGTTTCTTTTCCATCTCTCCACGTTCTGCTTTATATAGTTCATCTAACATCATGAAAATATAACAAGCATAACGAGGTGAAGCCCACATTGCTACAGCATTTACTAAAAGTCTATGAACATAAAACCTTTCAAACCAGGAGCCAAATTTTTACGATTTTCGTACGGAATCTCTTCCCTCGGTTTTCCGAGGGAAGCAATCATATGAGGAAATTCTTCTAAAAGTTCTTTTGCCTGTTGGTTTTCAAACCAATGATATGCTTGCTTTGTAGAACGAAGAGCGTTCATTATACTTTGCATTTGATACATATCATCTTTGACTGAACGAATGAGTCTCAATTGTTTGTTATATTGTATGTATTCGTATTCTTCATTTATGGCTTCATGAACGATAGCAGTTGTTGTGTTCTCTAATGTTGTCATTACTGTTTCTTATATACAAGATAAAAAATTTTGTTAGAAAAAAATTAGCGTTATTTTCTGACTTTCACAAAAGACCAAAAATAAACGCTTTACATGTATTTTTCAGCAACTTCGTCAAATAATTTTATAGCTTTATCTATCTCATCTACTTCAAACGTTTCTTTACCTTTTATGGGAGCACCATACATTTTCTCAAAAACTTCAAGCAGTTCTGTTTCAGCAGCTCTCATATCATTTACAAACACAACCTTAACTCTATTGACTGTACTGTCATATCTTTTAGTTATATTAAATGTTCTTCCTATCTTATATCTCTTTGTATTGAAGTCCTTCGGTTTCTGAACGATATAAAGTAAGCCTTCACTGCAACGTTCAGTATCGAATGAACCATATGTTATGAAATTATATCCAACAACTGGGTCAATCCAGAACAAAACTATTGGTATAAGACTTTTGTCTATGAGATATGCTGTAGTTCCATAGAATCTTACCGATATCAAAAGCTCAGGATTTCTTGTCAAAATTTTCTGACTAGAAGCATTTCTAACCCAGTCCTTTGCTCTCTTTCCAGATGGAGATAAAATGTCTGACAAAGAAATTATTTTTGTATTTCTTTGAGTATCTTACGTTTAAATCACCAATTCTAACCACTTTGGTCTCATTGTTTATCTTTTTAACTGTTTCAAACTCTGTGTTTGTCATTTCCTGTTCTTACATACAAAATAAAAAAAAATATTTTAAAAAAACTAGCGTTAATTTTATTTTTTCTATCTTGTATAAAAGATATGATTTCATAGAGTTTTTTTACGAAGTGTCAAAGTTCTCTTCGTAAAAATATAACAGTTATATAATGAAATTTGGTCATTTTTTCACGATTTTCGTACGGAATCTCTATCCTCGGTTTTTCGAGGGTAGCAAACATATGAGGAAACTCATGAAATTTCATACGGAATTCAGCAAAAATAATGTTTATGTTAGAATGTTAGATCTAACATGTTTTCTAACATGTTTTCTAACATGGTCTAAAACATACAAAACTCATGAAATTTCATACGGAATTCAATAAAAATAATGTTTATGTTAGAATGTTAGATCTAACATGTTTTCTAACATGTTTTCTAACATAACTATTTACAAGCGTTTTACATGGTATATGTTGCGATGGTTCATGACTCTAAACAATTTCGTGGCTTCAATTTCTTCTTTTAGTATGTCAAAAGTTTTAACGATACCGAAGGTTTCTTTATACTTCTTCTTGACGTCAGATAGAAGGAAATCGTCAGCTGTTGGATAGTTTTTGTTTAGAAATGTCAACATGTCCATTTTATCTTCTGCTGGTTTCTCTGCTTCTTTCTTTAAATCTGCATAGTCGTTTCGCATACGTTCTATCTCTTTGACGGAGTAGTTATATTTCCTCATTGCTGCTTTACATTTTGAACATTGCGGATTCATTTTTGCGTTATATTCTGAAACCTTACCTGCAAGTATGACCAAGGCGTCAATGGTTTTCTTCATCTCGAACATAGCGGGTTTTATTTGTTCGTTCCATACCTTACCCCTACTATCTTTATCTCTTATTTCCCAAACACATTTTGCAACTAATGAAACAAAGTTATCGTAGGTCTTAAATTCTTCAGATTTATATATGTCAGAGATGTTCTTATATACCATGTCGCAATCTTTGTCCATAACCTTATGGTTGCAATGAAATCCAAGAAACTCATAATTTACCTTTCGTATGAACTTCTTTATTTCTACTGAGTCAGTCAGTCCGACTTCTATTTCATCGAATTCTGGAATAGTGAGTTTTTGTTGTTGGATTTCAGGAAGTTTAGGTAGATGGTCAATAATATCCTGCATTTCATAAAGATACTGTTCATTTGTTTCATCTTTCGCACTACAGTCTAAATTACTTGTTAAAAGTTCTTGCTTTATCTTCTGGATTTCTGTTTCGAAAGTATATGAAGAAGGAATGAAGCTTTTCATCTCTACTAACATTGAAGTTGGATTCATGACTAACGAGTTTGGTGCTGTTGTTGCTAACATGTTCTTACAATAAAAATAAAAAATATTTTTTTAAAAAAACCAACTTTATTTTTTATTTCGGGAAAATTCATGATTTTCGAGAGTTTTAGACCATGTTAGAAAACGTGTTAGAAAACATGTTAGATCTAACATTCTAACATAAAATATATTTTTGGTGTAAATTTCATGAGTTTTCTACGATGTTAGAAAACAGGTTAGAAAACATGTTAGATCTAACATTCTAACATAAAATATATTTTTGGTGTAAATTTCATGAGTTTTCTACGATGTTAGAAAACGTGTTAGAAAACATGTTAGATCTAACATTCTAACATAAAATATATTTTTGTCGAAAAAAAATGGTTCATTTACTCACAATATTTTTGTACAAAACGACCCCAAACTTTTAACTTCTTTTCTGCAGCTTCTAATGTTATCTTAGCGAGTTCATATTCTCTAAATTCTCTCTTTAAATCTTCTTGTTCCCATTGGTCTAGTTCGTATGGAGAATCTCTATAACCAGAACATATCTCACGTTCATGTTCTATTTGTTTTTCATGCATTTTTCTAACTTCTTCTTCAAACAAAGGTTTTGCATTCTCTACTGTATCTTCAAGTTCTTCTTCATCTAACTTCTCATGAACTTTCTTGTCTATGGAGTCCATAATATCTTTGACATAAAATGCATACTTTACAGAGCACCATTCAGCAACAAAATGAACGAGGTCAGGATGTATGTAAATACCTTTGAATTCATTCATAACACCCTTAGTAAGCTCATAAAATGCTTGTTTTGAGGTTGAGCCACTTTTGGCTCGACCATATTCTTTCAACCAAAACTCAAGAATTTCCTGCATTTTAGCACTATTGAGAAATCTGTTTAAATGGTTTAACTTTCCTGCTTCTCTTGCCATCTTTGTCGCATTTACATAACCATCCCTGTCTCTACGTAAGACTTCAATACCGTTGTAAGTGCCTTTTGTGAATGTTTCGCCATTAGATTTGTTCGTGAACGTTTTTGCTTCGACTGACATATCTGTTCTTACATACAAAATAAAAAGTTAGAAAAAAAATAAAACTAGCGTTATTTTTTCTATCTTGAGAAAATCCACGAAAATTCATAAATTTAGGTCATGTATGTTAAAATAAATGGTACCATTAATAATTCCATGACTGTTCTCATTCATGTCTGATTTACATCTAATGAAAAAGTTTAGAAGAATTTTCTTATTCTTTCTGGCATATTTTTGTCTTTCCAGTACTCCCGCTCTAATGGTCCCAGATGTGTTGGCTTTGACTCTCTCAAGTTCTTAGATGGTATAACATCTTCAACGCCTCCTTCATATCTTACTTTATAAGTGTCATCGTTTATGTTGTAGTCAAGTATTTCAATAACCACTCCTCGCTTTGCTTCGTCAATGGTTTCAGCAAGTTTGCCATTACTACTTTCGACTAATTTATGTCGAGGGTAAAATGCTATGGAGTCGTCAGCAGCTTTTATAAGATATCCATTACCTTGCGTAGAGTCTACGATATAATAATTTCGACTTAACCTTAAACGTTTCTTTGTCAATGGTTTGTCGTCAAGAACTACACGAACTTTTGTACCAGGAATGAGGGTAAATTGTGTTGAATTTCTGATATTTTGTGTTTGGCTTCGTTTCTTTTGTATATACTTTTCTTCTTGTTGTTGTGTCATTGAATTTGGTGTATGTCCTGTTGTAGAATGTGTTGAGGAATTGTAAACTTCGATGAAATGTTTCATTGTTTCTTCGGTAAAGTCTCGCTCTTGATTTAAATCTCTGAGAGTCCTTATGAAGCGGTTAATGATACCGAGTATGTTATGGTTATGGTCTTCAGTAGTGTAGTGAGTTATGTTATGCTTAATGAGAAATTCTGTGATTTCGTTGCTGAGGTATGCACCGTCTTGGTCTGATGTTAAAATACTTGGGCTATGTTCTGCTACAAACTTTTGTAAAACTCTTAACACTTCATGAGTTCCTTTATTTCTCATTATATACGCATATGCTTTACGAGTGTTAACATTTATGAAGATGAGGAATGGTTTATGTCCTCCTTTTCTGCTTTGAATGAGAGTGTCAAATTGGTATGCGTCAGGAGTGTTGGAGTAAATTGGTAAAAAGTAGTCGTAAGGGTTTATTTTTGTTTGATGTACAACATTTTTGTCAAAGAACCTTTTCACTTCAGCTCTGTTAGTAAATCCCCAACTCTTTGCAGCTTCATTGAACTTCTTAAATGACCTCCATGGATGTTGTTCGAATACTTCTTTCAAGCTCATTTATGTAAAAATAAAGATTTTATTCTAGGCTCAAGCGCGTTCATTGAACGCGGTACCATGCGAATACAGTCACAAATGGTGGCATATAATCTTCACCTGAGCCTGTTGGATTTGTTGTGAAAGTGTGTGAATGATTTCCTGCGGTTCCACAGAAAATACCTGCGCTTGAATCTACTGGGTCACTTGAAATATCATATCTATGCATTCCCTGTCTATCCGAACCTGCTGCAAGATTTGTATAACCTCTTTTTGTTATTGAATGTGAATGATTACCTGTTGTGTTTGTAGTTCCTGCATGAGTGTGCGGTGGAAGGTTTGCTTCTTTAATTTTCTTCGAACCGCCTGTTTGCTTTGAATATCTAGCACAGTATAAGAATTTATCTACAATCTGTTCCCACGTACCGAAACCCAGAACTGTTGCTGGATTTGTTGAGTTCATTGACGTATAAATAGAACCTATAGGATATAATGTTTGAAGTATTTCTGTCTTTAATGTTTGAAGCTCTGTTTTGTCAGCTTTACTGTCTAACATTGTTGGTAGCTCATGTGTTTCAAAGTTTCTGACATGACCTTCAATGTTCATACATTTGTTATTTAAGGAGTTTAGTGTATCTTTTACGCTTGTACTTGGATTTTCTAATGGTGCACTTGAACCCAAATCATAGTTCAATATTATGTCGTCTGCTCTAACAGTAGTGAAGGATTTATGTGTATGGTTCTTGTCTGCTTTCTTGTCATATAAATCTTGAGCAGTGAATTTAACATTATTTTCATCCTCCATGACATAAACATCTTTACATCTAATGTTTCTCATCGTCGTTATGTCGTCATCCGATGTTAAACCTTGTGGAAAGTTAGGAGGTTTACAATATAATGCATCCCCACCAGTTTCTTCAACCGTTCCTTCAATACTTTCTATAGCAACAGTTGTGAAGGATTTATGTGTATGGTTCTTGTCTGCTTTCTTATCTAACATTGCTGGTAGTTCATATGCTTCAAAGTTTCTGGCATGACTTTCAATGTTCCTGCAACTGTTATCTAAACTGTTAAGAGTATCTTTTACGCTTGTACTTGGATTCTCTAAAGGTGCACTTGAACCAAGGGTATAGTTCAATATTATGTCGTCTGCTCTAACAGTAGTGAAGGATTTATGTGTATGGTTCTTGTCGGCTTTACTGTCTAAAGAAGTTTGAAGTTCATTTATATCGGAGATGTTGTGTTTATGAGATTTCAAAACTTTGTTCGTTGCTTCGAGTTCATCTTTGTCAGCTTTACTTTTAATAGCATCTTCAAACGTTATTTTTGACTTAACTCTCAAAGTAAATCTTGGTTCAACTAGTACACCGTTAACAGAGAAAGTAGAGGCATAAATTTCAGCGTTATAACCAAATGCTTCTGGTGCTTTAGCTACATCATACTGTACAGTACAGCTTATGTCATAACCTTTAGCACGAATGTATTTATATCTTCTTTCATTAACATTTTTTGTCTTCGCTTCATCACTTCGTGTTAAATATCCATGGTAGTCCGTTATAATCTGTTCGTCTGAAGTTATATAATGAACATGGTTCTTGTCCGCTTTTTCGGCTAATTTCTCATTAACATCATTCACTTCTAATTCAACTCTTCCGCCAGAACTCTTATTATCATTAATCTTTTTCATTAATTCGGTAATTACGTCATAAAGACTATATTCTGTTTTCGGTTTTGTAAATAATGAGTCAAAATTTCTTTTCATCATTACATCGCTGACATTAATGATATCACCAATTCCTTTTTCATTTATTCTCTTCATTAATTCTGCAATAATGACGAATATATAATCTGTTAATTTATTCTCTTCATCGAGGGTTATAGAATGTTTTGAAATTGAATCATTAACTCCTCTAAATAAATCAATAACTTCAGGATACACGTTTTTAATGTCTTGAATAACCCGACCAGTATCCTCGCCACTATGTGGCTCTGAGCCCGTTGGGCTCTGTTGTTCATGTTCTTCGTTCCCGTCGTTACGTGGTTTTATATCTCTAACCATCATCAACGCAGCCATAACCGGAGGGTTTGTTGCTACCTGTTCGAAAATCCGTCCGTTATGTATGGTATATCTAAATAATTTCTTTGTGTTTGTTAAAACATTTGAAACAAGTCTTTTAAAACCATCTACAAAATTTCCTGTTTCACCTAATGTTCTTGCAGCATTTACAAGCTCACCCATTCCCGCTTTTGACCCCAAAAACGTCCATATTGCATTTATTTCACTCTGTATAGTTGTCCATTCAGCGAAACTAATTCCTGCATTCGCTAAGCTGAAAATGAAATTCAGTGGATCGAACTTAATTCCACCTTCTTTTTCAATTTCAACGAACTCACTAACATGAGATTTTAAATATTCTTTCGTTAAAATTGTTTTCCCCGATGTTATGTCATTAACGAAACTATCACCGTCAAAAGTTAACGAATTCAATTTCGTCGTTGATGCTTTTATTTCATACACCGCTTTATCGATAGTTTTTGGCTCACCTTCTTTAGAAGCATATGAAACATTAATGAATGAATTATATGTATTCGTGAATGAATTAAAATCAATGATTTTCATTAATGACGCCTTTAATGATTCATTAACTGTTGAATCCCTTAAAACAATTAATGAACTGTCCTTTATGAAAGGTACCCTGCAAACCGTCGAGTTTGGATCAAATGCTGTAGTTGGTGCAGGAATATTAATGATATAAGTCATTAAATCATTAAGTGACGTAAATAATGTTGTCGTTTTTGATTTAATTTCTTTAGCATCTGTTATATACGGTAATTTTATTTCTGTAGTTTCTGAATTAAAGATATTCGCTAAAATGTTTTGTAAACTGTTTTGAACAGCTGTGTAAACCGTTGAATCCGGAACTCTTACGATTTCACCGTCCTTAATAAAAGGCATTGCACATGGTGTAGTGCTTGGATCGAATCTTTTTGGGTTATGATTCAACATATATTCTAATGCTTCATGAACAGACTTATATACTGTTGTGTCGTTCTTCATGACAACTTCACCATTTACAATGAATGGCATAGTGCATGGAGTTAAAATAGGGTCAAACTTTTCATAGTCCTTCCATGTTATGTATTTCTCGGTATTTCCATCACTGATAACAATATATTTGTCAGTAAGTGTGAGAGAGTATTGACCAAAATATAAACGTTTAGCTCTGTCAGCTTCATACGCATATGCAGCAATACTCATATTTTAATGAGAATAAAATGTTGTTCTATTTGCAAAGTACAGACCCAAACGAATACGGGACAGTAAAGCTACAAACAAACTTAGGTCTACAGAATGAGCCACTTGCATTCAGAATGGTTGACTTCAATACTATCGCTTCATTCGTTATAACAGATGAAACAGATTTCATGGAGCTTGAAATAGATGGAAAGAAGCACGAAATAAGATTTCACAATAATGTAGAATATAAGATGGAAACATTAGCCGGAGTGTTAAATGCTCTCATAAATACTACAATAAACAAGGAGAACGAAGAAAACTTAATGAATGTTAAACTTATTGCAGGAGTTTTGAAGTTCAGTTATGCGAAGGAGTTTAAGATAACACGAATGAGTCATAGAGTTCAATTGCTTCTGGGAGCATACCATATGACATGTCCTTTGAAAAGTGTTGACAAAACGATTGAGATGAAATCTGTTCCATACGTATGTTATGGTAATTGTTTATACATTGAGTCAAAAATAGCTAATGTCACAGGTATTTCAGGAGTTAATAGTAAAGGTTCAGTAGAATATAAATCCTTCTGTTATGCAGTCAATTCAATGTTCATTCCAAACGTTCCTGTCATAGTAACTCATTTAGGTAAATGGGTTCGCATTAGTCCTCATAATTTGAAAGACATGCAATTCAGACTTGTTGACTTTCAAGGAGAGCCTGTAGAACTGAAGGCACCAGTGCGAATGACTGTTGAAGTTGACTTTTTAGAAAATATTAAATGCAACAGCTTACAAGAGAACTCAGAGCTAAAAATATAAAGTATGAATGTTATGTATTAGGTCATGAACTTTGGTTGTTGCTGTTTGATGAAACAAATGAGTTAGTTATGTCAGTCAAGAGAACAGAAAAAGGCGTCAAAGGCGCCGAGCGCAAAGCGCTATATTGTGTTAGTGAAAACTGCACCAAGTCAATAAGATTAGGTTTGCATTATGAAGATGAGTTCGATACTGTTGAAGAAGTTTTGGATAGATATTACAAATTGCTTTAATTTACTAAAACATATTTCAAACAAAGCTTATATTCTGTTGAAAGTTTTGTATATTCATTCGAATATTTATACTTAAACTCAACTCCTGTAGTTCCTGGTGTTTCAATGATGCGGATGTTACCTATTTTCATGAATGGTGGCGTTTGACCACAGCATTCGATTTCAGGGTCGAGATAGTCAATGACACATTGTTTCCCTGTTATTCGTGATATAACATTTTCAAGGTCCTCCTTTGTTAGAATTATTTGGTTCTTGCTTATAAGATTTGTCAAAAGCTTCTTATCGTCTTTGAGTAAAATTGTTTGGTATAACTGAAGAAGGTAATGGTCTACGTTATCTGAAGGATTTGTTTGAACATTTGTGTAAGGGTTGTCGTTGGCTTCTCTTGAAAGAATTTGGTCCAGTGGTGGATACTCTAACTTAACATCTGATGTAGCGTTAGCGTTTGAAGCTGAGTTTAAATTCACGGATTTCAGTTCTGGTTCTTTTTCTTTCAAACACTCTGAACTATAGTTCTTTATGACAATATTGTTTGTCGTTCGTGAGTCAACATTTGATGTTGGTTCAATTGGAACATTAACGGCACCAGCTAAGATGGATTTGCTTCTCATTTCATATAGAATAAAAACCTTTTATATGTATGAAATGAACAATATACTCGACAAGGGTTTGAATGTAAAGCTAACGAATGAAAATATTGTTGAATTCACTGAGACAGGTGCTGTGTATAAAGATGTAGAACTACTGAACAAAAGAGCTAAGGGAAGAAGCAGGAACATGAACAAAGGGTGGAAGCCTATAAAAATTTATGTCAATGATGGCTCAGGAGGTTCAAACATAAAGTATGCAGAAAGTTATAGAGTTTATGCTCTCAAAGGTGAAAAGCCTTCATTTAAGAACAGCTATTCTAACGCATATCCTCAAAAGCTAACGGATGGGAAGTGGATGATATGAATGACAGCAAAAATATTAACAGAAATGGCGACAGAGATGCATGGAATTTGTTTACCATCAGTCAATTGAAGGTTAAACTTTAAAACAATGTTGGTCGTTCCCATGGAATATTTTTGACTTTAATGGTATTAGTCATGATATGAATCTCAAGGTATGAACGAGGAGAGATGAGAGACTTATATGCTTCCCAAATTTCTTCAAAAGGTAATGTTATACCTGACTGTTTCCAAATGAGTTCAATATCATAACGTGAGAAACCTTGAAAGATAACGAAGTCAGTTATGAGACGTTTTATGTTTAAAGCAAGAAAACGCCATGTTTGCATAAGTATTGCTACAGTTAAGTGGTAATGTCTGACTTTAGTAATGATGTTAGCTAATGGTGAGTCAGGCTTTGACACTAAACCTTTTCCGGCGAAGTCGTCGCAAACGAGCAGAGTATTTGAAGGATACTTTTTGAAGGGGTATTTTGAAAGTTTTGATAGAATGTAGTTTGTCAGTCGTTTCATATCGTAAACTCCTGAGTATTGACGTAAGTGGTGTTTGTCAATAATTCTTTCCATCTCTTCTGAAGTCTTTTGCATTCCTGACTGTATAAATTCAACGATGGCATAATATTTCCTCTTACGTCGAACGTAACGTTGAAGAAATTCAATGAGTTCACTGTCTGGAACTTTAACGACAGAGGCTTGAACTTTTGACATAAATGTTTTCGCTGTTGAGTCCATAGAGTCTGAAGTTGCTGATATAATGATTTGGTCATAATATGAGTCATTTCCTAAACGTCTGTTATGAGTATATGACGAATGAGGTTAAATGTCTTACCTGAACCCATCTTTCCACAATAGAAATAAACCCATTTGAACAGAACTCATAGTCTTACTGAAAGGAAGAATGAGAGAAGAGTTAAGTTTGTCTGTAGTTTCATTCATGTCTTCATCTACGTCATGTATTAAATGCTTCATTTTATCTCATTAAAAATGCAAGTCAGAAATATTCAGAAATAGCACCAGTCTAACTGACAAGAGTATAAAGATACTATGAACACGTTATGATGAAACCAAAAAATTCAAGAAAGTCAGTATACTTATGAATATCCAAGACACTGGGTAGAGTATGTAGGAGGTGAGAAAGCTATTGAAATAAGACAAGTTAGAAGTATTCCGCAGGAAGAACAATATTATTGAAGAACTTTAATGTTTTGAGGTATAATGATGAACAAAGAAGCAAGATAGTTTTCCCATTGCTGTGTATGTGAACCTAGACACAGGAGATGACATGAAAGTTTTTAACACAAAGCTTCAAACGGTAGTGAGAGAACAACTTACTGCGGAAGGGCATCCATTACCTTCAGAAGTTACCATAGTATAATTTTTGAAACAAATGCAATAGATTTTAAAGTCGTCTCTGCAAAGAAGTCAGGTTTTACATTTAATGAAGCAGATGTATATTCGAATGAAAACTTCAAAGCTATTGCATGGTTAGATAATGAAGATTGCTTTAAGAAAATATTTAAATTCAGTGACTCAACGATGTCAATAGATGACCTTCGTGGAATGTTACCATCGACGTTTACAGTTGAAGGTTCAGCAGGATTGCTTACAAGATTGTCAATTGGTGGTATTTGGTCTCGTGAGAACATTGTTATAAAATCCAGTATAAGTGAATTTGCTGAAGAATCTATATTATGTCTTTCAAACTACATGTATTCGCCACCGAAGCATTATAGTATAACAAACTTTGTCAGTAAGTTTAACATAAGACTTGTCGAACCTTCTTCAATGAAAGATGTTGTGCTACCTAAAGATGGAAAGGATGGACTCATTATTGAATGATTTTAATAGCATATTAAATGAGCTTGTTTTTAAAGGTCATTCATGATGAAATAACTGTTGTAGAAGATGTTAGCAATTGTTCAGACATTTTGAAGCGTATAGATGAGATAAGAAAAGAAGTTTATGAAGCGAACGCGGCGAGGACGAAGTCCATGAGAATGTTTATGTTTCATTGACTTTCTCCAGTAAAGAGAACTTTTATGAGATAATATTGAAGAGAGATGATTTTAATATGGTGTAAATGGTAGCTTGGACAGCTTTAGGCGCAATGGGAACAAAAGCATTAGCATTTGGAGCAAAAGCACTTGGCTTATGACGCAGTAATAAAATGAGTGGAGGAGAGTTTCGAAGACATTAGATGCAAATAAAGGGAAGATTGGAGGCTGGGTTGCAAAGAAGTTAAGATTAAATAAAATAGGGCTCATAAATAAAGCATCCAATTTGGTTGCGACTGAGTCGGAAAATGCTTTAGGAAAGGACGATGAGTTTTCAAACACGCAAAAGACTTTAATGACCAGATGAAAGGTGAAACAATGCATTTAAATAGAGTCGATGGAACTCTTCCTCCACCAGTAGTTCTTCCGTATGTCCCTATGGAATGTATGGAAATCCTTACGAAAGACCATTTGACCATTGACTGGTGGAAGTAACTGGTATCATTACGGACGAAGAAGAAGACAGTCAAGTTGGAGACAGACGTGAAGAAAGCAACTAAAAAGAACCAAGGAAGAGAGTTATAAGTAATGAATTCAACAGGTTAGAAAAGAGGTTAGAAAACGTGTTAGATCTAACATTCTAACATAAATTTATTTTTGTGCTATGTTTTCATACGTGTGAGGGTGGTGATATCATTAATTTTAAGTTTATTTTTAAGTTTACTGAAAATTTTTATTTGGATGTAAATGACGAAAACTATTGAGATAACAAACTACAACGGTCATGAGTTCAAGAATTTGTTCTTCGTTCCTCGTGAAAATACATTCTATCAGATACGAGGGAGAAAGGGTAAAGTTAGTTTGAGCGTTTATGAAGGAATGAAGAATGGAAAGTTTATACAAGCATACGATACAAACGGTAAACGTGTTTCATTAGCTTTGTCAAAACTTACTAACATTTATTTTGACAGTGATTTTGACTCTGACGATTGGAGCGACAGCAGCGATACTGAAGAATATGAACTATTGTGTGAAGCACAGCAATGGGAAGAGTTGCAATACTTTTGTAAGTGAGAACGTTTATTTTTACAGTAGTAAGGTGAAGTGGTTGGCGGCTTTATAAATATTTAAGGTTAAGTTAGTGTTGTCGTTTGTGTTGTAAAATATACGTTAACGGTTTTGTAAAGTGTCAAATTCACAAGTATTGTGTACGGAGGAACGCAGTGCCTCAGTACACGAGATATGTATACTAACTAAATTTGACGAAGTGCAAATCTTCACTTCGTGTCATAATGTAAAAATAACGCTATTTTTTTATAAAATTTGACGAAGTGCAAATCTTCACTTCGTGTCATAATGTAAAAATAACGTTTACCTTGTAAAACGGTTGTGAAAAAAAGAGGTGAAAAATTAGGTGAAAAAACAGGTGAGATCTCACCTCTTCACCTAAACATTATTTTTGCTGAATTCAGCACAAAAATCTGAGTAAAATGGCATAAGATTGCTTCCCTCGGAAAACCGAGAGAAGAGATTCCGTATGAAAACAGTGAAGAAAAGCGAGTAGGTAAAAAAACGTAGTCGCCAAAACTCTATGAAAACAGTGAAAAATAACAGAGTATTTTGACAACTTCAAACAAGTAGAGTAAATGAACCATTTATTTTTTACGCTTGACTTTTTACAATTTGAACTTTGTTTGCGTAGATATGAATTCTGAAAGAAGTATGAGGGTCTTGTATGACTTTATACTTCTCCCATAGTTCATATCTGTCAAACTTACCTGCCATGGACTCTTTCATAAGTTCCATGAAATCGTCTTCGGACAATCCGGGGAAAAGTACAATGTCAGTCAGTATTCTCTTTACATCCTTACTTAAACTCTTTGCTGTCTGTACACAAATGACAACTGAGATGTTAAAGTGTCTGAGCTTCTTAAGAATTCGACACATATCTTGTTCTCTATTCTTTAACAAAGGATGAGAGGCGAAATCATCTAAGATAAGAAGACATCTATGAGGGTATGTCTTCCAATCGTAAGATTGCAATTTCTTCGAAATGTATTCTATCTCTTTCTGTTTGTTTCTGAAGTGTTTCTTCTCTAATATTCTCTGCATTTCCTCATTTGGGTCTTTAAACTTAGAATTTATATACTCATTTATAGCATTGTACTTCAAAACTCTTCTTTGGTACTTCTTTATCCAATCTAACAACTCAGTATCCTTTATACATACTAACTTAGACTTCTTTATAATATCTTTGAACGAATTGACGGTTTGGTCAAATTGACCAGAAGTACTACAAATAACAACTAACTCATAGAATGGGTTCTTCTCATCTAGTTCTTGTTGTTGTGCAGCCATTTTAAGATAAGTGAAAGTCTTACCAGACCCAGGTGGTGCAATTAGACCTGTTATACCATTCTGAGCAAATAAGAACTTGTCATGTATAGGCTTTATCTGAGCATTTTCTAACTTCCTCTTGTTCTTGTTTAAAACATTCTCAAATTTCTTGTCAATGTCAGCAAACTTTTTTTCTAACATATTTTTAGAAAAATTAAAATTTTTATCTTTTAGAAAATGTCTAGCGATTTCGCTATCTATATTCGAGACAAGCTTTTCGACAGCAAAAACATCTGTCGACCATAAAATCTTACATAGTGTAAACAAGAAAGGGGAATTTGTTCTAAAGTTCTGTTTCTGGGAATATGACAAGAACCATAAAACATTAAGCAGAGCAGTCTTAAAATTTGTCAATGACAGACTTGTTGACAGAGATGACACCGATTGGAAAGATGAAGTCCAACAAAAGTTCTTAGAATGCAAAGAAGACACATGCGCTGTTCTTGAAGATGAAATAGAAAACAGAATAGATGAGCTATTAAAGGACAAAGAACTTTTACATAAATATGGTTCGGAGAAATTTGACATAACTCCACCAGAAAAGAAGAAGAAAGAAAAGAAAGAAAAGAAAGTAGAAGAAGAGAAGAAAGAACCTGAACCAGTTCCAGAGAAAAAGAAATTTGACATGTAAAAATAAACTTTTATTTTTAGAACATTTCTGGGTCAATGTCAATGTTCTCTTCCTCTTTAGGAGCAAACACTGGCTTAGACTCTAAAATCTTTTTACCCAATTTACCTTGAACTTCAACTATCTTAGACTCATAATATTCATAGTCGTCTGCTTTCTTTTGGTTCATAAGGTATAACAAGTTTGTATGCTTTGCCTTCTTTAAGGTTTGAGAACCTTCTGTCAAAACTTTCTTTGACTGCTAACGAACCTTCTATGTCTAAGTCTTCAAATTTCGCACCATTTTTAGTCACAATAGCAAACTTAACTGGTTCGATGTTCCAAACTTTGCTGAATGAAGACTTTTCAAAATGGTAGAAGTAAACATTCAAATATGTGAATGGGTCTAGTTCTTCTTTAAGTCCTGACATGTACTTGTTTACTGAAATATATTTCGTCATCTTTTCTATCGGATAAAAAAATATTTTTGTTTTAAATTTACTCAGAAAAAATTTTCTTTGTATATACACCATTCTGTACGTCTAAAAGACTTTTGACATTTGCCAAGAATGTTCGTTTAGACGCTGTCATATAACCATATTCTTGACAATATTGTTTATACGAATCGTACAATGACCTTTCATCTAAACACTCAAAGTCAGTTTCATCTATGAACAGTTCATATACACTCTTGTTTGCTTCTAACAATGTTTGTCTCTCTTCGGTATGTGGAATTTGTCTTGGATTGAACTTTGAAATATCTAATGTCATAAAATATGAGAACAAGTGGTTGTAAATGTCAGATGTCAAAGTTTCTGCTAAGTCGTCAAAATATTCTGTATCTTGCATATGAGAATCTGACGTTCTGACAACTACATATCTTCTGTCAGAACTTTCTAACTTCATCGGAACAGCATTGTTTGAAACCATAATGAAGTTTGCAACATTTTCACAAACTCTTTGGTCTTTATATTTTCTTTCAACAACTCCAACTTTGTCTGTTATAAGACTCTTCAAAGCATCTGAGTTCAAAACTTTTGTTGTATCTATACTTTGAAGTTCATTGCAAACTATAAGTTTCATATTCTCTATTGAGGAGTTAAACTTGCCACAGATGTTTTCTAAGTTTGTCATATTCGGGTTCGAATAGCCCTCTAATAGTTTGCACAAAATATCTGTAAAGAATGTGTTCTTACCTGTTCCTTGTTTTCCAATTATAATGAGAGCAGTTTCATTTTTAGCACTTGGATGTTGTAAGATGTTTGCAAACCAACATAAGATATACTCATAAACCTTTTCGTTTCCATTGCATATAATTTCTTTGACATGGTCTAACCAAGCTTCTATAATATTTTCTTTCCATTCTACTTGTTCATATTTATATCCAGTGAAGATAGAATAGAAGTTTGGAGAAGGTGTATAGAACTTTATACCTCGAACTGAAAAATCTTCTAACTTTGACAATAAGATATCCCAAGCATCTAACATCTTCATGCCAACTTGTACGACTTTTATTTTCTTAAGTTTCTGTTTACATTCTTGTTCTGAAACTATTGTCGCTTTAGGTTTGTTAAAGACTACATCCCATTCTTTCATAACATAACATTCTGGGGCAGAGTCAACATAAATGACTAAACGTTTCAAATTCTCGACTGCTTTGTTATAGTCTCGAAATGGACACATATTTCTGAATGCTTGGAAGTCATAAAAATCTGAAACATCTATTCTGTACATTTTTATAAAAATAAAAAAAATATTTTTTTTATTCTTGACTTTGTTGTTGCATTTGTTGCATTTGTTGTTCTTGAGCTATTTGTTGTTGAAGTTGTTCTTGTAATACAATACTTTCACCAGTTGCATCTTCCAATTCGAAACTTTCTGCCGTCATTGACAAATACATAGGACATAAAAGTTTTACAGGAACAAAGTTTGCGTCAACTAATGTCAACGTTATACTTGCCAAAGTGTTTGAGTTCACTAAGGTTGAAAATTCTGCATTCGAATGAACAATAGGCAAACCAGCAGAGAAAGTATTGTTTATACGCATAAGTATCTTTTGGTCATAATAGTTTCTGTCGACATTCGAATAACACTTTGAACCTAAGTTTGAAACAATATATAAAATAGGTGTGCTTAAAGTCAACGGAACAGACATTCCTTGTATGACACCTTTTCCTGTTATAGGAAACTGTTGGTAGTAAAAACCAGAAATAAGTTTGTATTATAGCTCATATCGTTTATAGTAAACTCAGTCGGACATCCAAACATAATGAAACCTGCTCTAGTTGCAGCACATGTTACACCCGTACTTAAAGTATTAAATAAGTCAACAAAACCTGTTGGTGGTATATCTGAGTAAGTATCTTCAAAGGAGTATTTTTTACCATTCACAACAATAAAGTCTTCTGGTGTCAAAGAGCAAAACAGGCTTTAGTCGTCATTGTGTTTAAAGTTAGTTTACAATATCGTCCTTGAGGACTTTGTAAGTTTGTTGTTATAGAATTATATGACTCAGGGTTTTTAGTCGTAATAGTATAAACCATTATGTCTTCTGCATTTATATATATTTAAAAGTTTTTCTGAAAGTGGAGAAGAACTTCATCTAAACTTTCACATGACGTTTCTTGAAGTTCTCTGTCTAAGAAGTTCAAATATTTTGTAAAGACATAGAACTTTCCTTTGTCTACACGAACAAACAAAACAGGGTCTTTCATATCGTTCAAAAGTGTGTAAAGTCCTTTACATGAAATATAAGTCTATATTATTTTTCTTCAAACATCTTTCAAGAAGTTTTGACATTTTACTTAGCAAATAAATTTTAATGAAATGTTGTGGTCGTCAAATATTTTTATAAACGTCTGGGAAACTATACTTTAAGTTCAACGTTTCACCTCCTTTCATAACGTATATCTTGTCAATGACATTATATGAAACACCACAGCAACTAATGTCGGGTTCTATTTCTTTGATGTTTATATCGTCTGCCTCTGTCAAAAGTTTCAATAGTTCTTTCAAAACTTCATGAGGTGCAATGACATATGAGTTCACTTTTACAGGGTTGTGTTCGACCAAGTTTAACATTATACCTAAAGCTTGACAAATCTTCTCCTGAGTTTGAAGTTTGTCTTTCAGTTGTTGGTAGTCGTTTCGAATATCTGCAACAGAACTTAAGTCTCTGCTAACTTCAGGATATGTTGGTTGTTCTTTTACAGGAACAATTGTTATACCATCTTCGTCCTCGTATGGTTTCCCACTTCAACATCTCTGTCTTTGACATTGACAATAACACTTTGACTGTTTGTTTGAGTTGGTGAATTTAACTTCACATCTGCCACCGCCATTAAACCTTTTGAAACACTCACGCTTCTATTTTTTCGGAAATGACATTTTACTTAGAATAAAAAGATGGACGTATTCGAGTATCTCTTCGAATTGAAGCAAAACAAAGTTTACACACACAAACAATACAAATACATTGACAGAATAGTTCTTTATACAAACAATGGTAAATGTTATAGAATAGCAATATTTGCTGAACCAAAATATTTTCATAAAGCAAAGAAAGTTGGTATAACTGAAATGGTGGAAAGTTCTTGACGTTGACAAAAATATAACAACAAAACTTACAGATATTTCTAAAGGAAAGTTTATCTTACAATATTATGTCAAAACTGGCGTACTGTCAATATTTGACGGAGAAGAAGTCAGTTCAAGAACAACTTACTGACCTGCTGCCAAAATCTGCTCGATGGAAGCTGTCGTTATGCAATCTGAGGAGCCCCAGCAGGTTTCATCGAACGAATCTTCAAAAGAGCATCTTCCGTGAAAAGTGCTATTGGTTTTGTAAACTTCTTTGCTCTCAGTTCATCTGGACCGTCTCTGTCACCAGTATATTGTATTTGTACAGTACCAACAGTTGAAATACCACCCATAAAGTCTTCTGAGTCAGCAAATGGAATGCCAAGCCAAAAGTTTGAACGGTCTCCATTTGTATATTGAGTTTTTTTGACCTCCTGTATGAGTCCATACTTTCACATATGGCATAATAGAACTTTGCATTTCAGGGTTTATGGTTGTTTGAAGTTGTTGTTAAAGTTCATAGCATCTAATGTCAAGTTGTATGACCTCATATCCTCAACTGTAGAATATTCTTCTCTTGATAATATTTGCCATCTATGTTTATATGATATTTAATACCGGGGTTGTAGAAACAAGAAATAGTCATTTATAGTTCGTCTGAACAGTACAAACATAGTATCTGCATGTTTCATTGCAGTTGTTAAAGCAATATCTGTTCTTGCACTGGGTCAGCACTTTGGTTTCCAACTTCACCTGCAAAGTCTTTGACAGATATTTGGTGTATAGGGAACATAAGTGGAACTGCAAATATTTGGCAGCTAAAGCATTTGAAATATCTGGGTCCAACATATAGACTGCAAGTCTGCTTTCTATTCTCTTGCATTCAAATTTTTCGCATGTGAACTTAACTGGGTCCCAAGCAGTTCCAGCAGCATTGAAATAATAGTTTACTTCATTGTTGAAGTTTGAGAAACCAAAGTCTAAGTCAACTTTGTCTTTGCAAAATTCGGCGAATGACGTTTGATTTGTTCCCTTTACGTCTGTAAGAGTGAATGGGTCTTGTGTTGGTGCAATGACTAAGTTATTTTTGCTTGGAGTAAGTTCAATAGAAATTTTTCCTGCCCAGTTTGGCAAGTATCTTAAAAACCTGAAGATGAGGAAAGATGACAAAGGAACTCTAAGTTTCAGTTTTACTTTAGTGGCAGCATTTCCATCTGAACCAGAAAGGTTAACATAAACTCCTGGAACGTTAGGGTCAAGTCTTCTTATTTTCTCAATATTTGCATACTGGTCTGTTTGTTCTCTAGCTTGTGGTTGTACTGAGTTTCTCAAAGCGAACCATTCATAGTTTGCCCATGTTACTGTTTGAACTAAGTCAGAGTTAGAATATATCTTATATCCCATGAAAACTTCTGGAGCATATTGGTATCCGACATAGAAAATTCCATTGCAACCTTTCTTGTCAGACAACTTGGCAGAAGGTTTTATTTCAATGTCTTGTTCCACGTATAAGAATGAGTTGTCAATAGAAATAATATGAAACCTGTCGCAAGCAATATCTACTGTTGTTGAAGAACCTTCTCCAAACTCACCTACGTTTCCATAAGAAACAGCAGTTGTATATTCGTAAGTTCCAGGAACTATTTCTGACCTTCTAATGGCATTGTCGCATTCGTTATACCATTCGGAAACATTTCCGTTCATGGCATCCAAAACTGTTGGCGTTATATTCTGAGCGGCGTACATTTCATATGGGTAAAAATATAGAATAGTTGGATTTATTTGTCATAATTGTTTCGTACCAAGCTTTACTTTCTTCCTGACTGAGTTTTTAACTCTTCTTTTTCCTTCATTGCCACTACTTTCACTAGATGAAGTTACTTCTTCACTACTTTCACTTTGTTCTACTCTTCTTCTTTGGTGTCGCTTTTGGTAACTTGCCCTCTGCTTCAAGTCGTTGCATCTTTGCCTCATGTTCACCTAGTATGTTGTAAATTTCCCATGTCCTTTTTGCCTTTGGGCTCTGGTCGCCCATCTCAGGTAACCTATATCCTAGAAAGATTTTGTCATAGTTTGTATTTGAGTCTTCGCGTATTGTTTGCACGACTCTTTCCTGAGTTTCCGGTTCAAGCTCTTCAAACAGAGCTTGTCCATATGGAATATGCTCGTTTCCAAATATATGTTTTTGTAGCCATTCTGGTTTTCTTTCCATGTTACCAATAATATCTTTTGTGAATGGGAAAGCTTTTACCCAATGTTTCAGTCTTGCGTCATTTATTTCTGTAGTTGGTTTTATTTTGTCAAGGAACATGTTTTTCAATACTAACATTTCATTTGGTACTGTCCATTTGAGTTTTCTTAAATATTCATCCCTTCTCGGTTCATTGTCTGCAAAGTAAGTTTTTATGACATTTTGTAAACTTTCGTTTGCAAGGTCATGTACAATAGGTTCTCTTCCTTCTCTCTCCCTAACTTTCTTTCTAAACTCTTCACCAAATATACCATCTCTATGGTTCTGTGTAGTTCTTTGAGATAAATGTTTAGAACGTCAGGTGTTATATTTCCATCAGCCATGTTCATTTCATACTGGTCCAAAATATCTGCATGTTTCATATCTTTCAATGGCATTAAAGCCGCGCTGAAAATACCAGCTATATCTGGTTCACCATTCACTTCCATTGCGTCTACAACTTCTTGGAATTGTGGTTGTAAGTTTATGAACCACCTATCCGGATTAGCTTTATGACCCCATCTCATTGTAGTTCCATAGTCTGCAGAAACAAAAGTAGGTTTGTTTCCATATTGGTTAGGTTCTGAATGAACTTTAAACAATGTTTCATTTCTATATGTTTTGGTGAAATTTAACCTTTTATTTTCACCGAGTTCAGCCAAAGATTGAACGTTATATGGTCGTAAGTAAAAAGGATTGTTGTATTTGCGTACACTTTCTTTCAGTTCTTCCATTCTATGCTGAATATTTTCATCTGATGTTGGAGTCTTTTGTATGTCGGCGAACATTTTTCGATATTCTTCTACTATGTCAGCTGAATTTTTCTTAGACTCTTGGAAAGATTCCATATTCCCGCATACTCTTGTTGAGGGTCAAGATTTTTCGGCTGTTCCAAATCTTCATCTAGTTCTGTGAAGTTAGTTTCCAAAGGAGGGACTTGTTCGTTTCCTTCTGGCTCTTCTAGCTGTTGTTGCTGAACTATTTCTTCCATGTCTGGTTGTATCTGAACTTCTTCCTGTGGAGTTTCTTGTACCTCATCTGCTGGCATTTCATATATTCCGAGACCGTTTTTAACAAGTTCCCTATTTAAGTCATCCGCATTCATAACCCTTTCTTCTTTCGTTCCGTCTCTATTTTTTACGCGTTTCATGAAGATAGTTGAATTATCATTTATCTCTGACACCAAATATCTCGGAGTAAATTCATTCATGTCATTTGGATGATATGCTATTAAATCATATCCTTAGCGAGCTTGTATTTTCCAGGTTTGAAATTATATCCCATTTGGTGCTGAACCATAAAGCTAAATAGGTTCGGGTCAGTATTTCCTTCCTTGAACTTTCTAATAGCTTCTTTATATCTGTCACTAAAGTCAAGAGTATCTGGGTAACCATAATTTTCCTTAAGCATTTTTAAGAATTCTTGGTTTCCTTGTTCTCTACTTCTTTTATGTCCTTGCTCTGTTTGTGGTTGTTGTGGTGCAGTGTTTTGAACTGTTGGTTGTGGTGCAGTGTTTTGAACTGTTGGTTGTGGTGCAGTGTTTTGAACTGTTGGTTGTGGTGCAGTGTTTTGAACTGTTGGTTGTTGTGCTGGTTGTTGTGTTGGTTTTGGTGCATGCCTGTGTCTGTGTCCATGTGACGATGTAAATGTTTTAGGTAGTCCTGGTGCAGGTGCTTCTCTTGGAGGGTTTGGTGGTATATAAGTTCCACTAGCTAGTATATAAGTTCCACCAGCTGGTATATAAGTTCCACCAGCTGGCACATATGTTCCATCTGCAGCATAATGTCCTACCTGACTTTTCGTTCTTAAGAAAGCATTTACTAGGTCTGTTTTGGTCTGTTGTAACTCTTTTTCTTGACTTTCCACAACAGTTGCTCTAACGGCGTCATAGGCACTTTGAACTGCCTGTCTCGTTGCTGCATCTGTTATTTTCGTCATATTTTGTGCTACTTCTCTTAACTCTTTGTCGAAACCTTCAGACTTCAGTTTCTTTCCAGATGAGAAGTCGTTCACTAGTTTCACCTTACTATGAAGAGCTTCGAAGGCGTTCTTAAAGTCAGCATTCATTAAAGCTTCATTTGAACTGTCTTCATCCGCTTGTATTTTTGTCCTTATTGACCCTATAAGTTGGGCTGCTTTAGCGTTGGCTTGGGCATCTAACCAGTCATTATTAGCTTTTATATATTCTGCGCTTTTCATTGCCTTTTGCATGGCTGCGTCGTTATTTTTACTTTCTTGTGCTAAGTTTTCATACTGTACGGTTTGGTTTTGCAACTGTAAAAGTTTTTCTGCCTTTACATTTGCTTCAACTTCTTTTTTATACTCATCGCTATCCATATATGTCTTCAGGGCTTTTTGTTTTATCTCTTCATCTTTCAGTACTTTATATTGAGTAGTATGGTTTTTCAAATTTATAACATCTTGTTCCATTTTTGCTACTTCTGCTGCTTTTTCTGACACTTTTTTGCATATTCCTCTGTACTTAGTTCTTTCAGTTGTTCTTCTTTCTTCTTTTTCTCTACGTTTAACTCATTGAGTTTCTTTGTGTGTCTGTCATATTCTAGTTTCTTTTCGTTTTCACTTATTTGTTTCTGTATGTCTATGTTTGACTTTTTGACATCTGTTATTTGATTTTTGAGTGAACTCAAATTCATTTGACTTTGAGGGTTATAAGCTGTTCCGTCTGCAGCTCCACCATAGCCTGCCATTTTCGCTAAAAGTGCCGCTCTTAAACCTCCACTTGTGCACCAATAACTCGGTTTAAAAGCATAGGGTTGCTTGACATTTGTTGCAACATAGTGGGGTCATTCATCATTTGTTGTTGCAACTGTTGTTGTGGTGTCAGTTTTACTATTGGATGTTTCAATGCTCTCTTCCTCTTACGTATATTCTTACGTAGCTTACGTGGCATTTTAAGTGAAGTTAAAAAGCGGTTTTTGACGGTTGTTTATATGACACTTTTTGTTCAGCACAAAAAACTACTCGGTCAAAGTGTTGTCAGTTTTGTAAAATAACCGTCCTATCTCATTCTATAAGGGGGAAAGGCTTCTCAAATTATACTTCCTTGGAACGCCCGTAACTTTTCCTGTAGCGACGATAGACCCTTACTTGTCCGGACAAAGTTATACTATTTTGAGTGCTCTACAAAAAAGTCAACAGCGACGACTCTCAAAAACCGTTGTGTAAAAAGTTTTACCGTTGGACAAAAAAGTATATATAGAAAACAAAAAACGTTTATAGTTCATTCAATATTTGAGATGGAACGGTTTTCCAACGGTAACTATTAAATAAAATAAAATTATAGAAGGGGTTAGCGTTGACGAAAACGGTTTTTATTCAATATTCATTTTCCACAAACTTCTGGTCAGTTCATTTTTGTCTAATGGAAGACCACAGTAGTAGCATGACTGACAATTCTTTACAAAAGCTCTTTAAAGGTCAAACACTTATATCCTCATACTTTACTAGTATGTCCAAAGAGGTTACACAGGTTTCAGTCCAATCAGACTCCAATCAGACACAAATTGAAGCTCAAATTCAACCAAAAGAAACTGCCGAAGTCGAACAAACTACAGAAGCTCAAGTTGTTTCAGTCCAATCAGACTCCAATCAGACACAAATTGAAGCTCAAATTCAACCAAAAGAAACTGCCGAAGTCGAACAAACTACAGAAGCTCAAGTTGTTTCAGTCCAATCAGACTCCAATCAGACACCAAACATACGCAAAGTTCAACTAAAAACTTACACTCCTACAGAACCAGAAGGTGTCTTCTCATTCTCAACAACAGAAGCAAGATATAGAAGACTCATTGCAGATTATCCAAACAATTTGTCCTTAACAGACAACAATGACTATGATAGATATTTCAAAAGTATAATAAAACCAGTCGAAACATTAGAAAACTATCATAAGACAAATTACGGAAAGTGAACTCAAACAAAAAGTGACACAATGCATTTGCCAACCAAATAACTTTACAAAGCAAAAACTTAAATTACTTGTCAAGCTTACTATTCTTATTTTAACAATTAAAAAATTAAATTTTATTTTTTATTTAAAAAAATCATCTTATATCATCTGATATATATATATAACAGCATTAATATTTCAATGATTCACAAATCAACTTTTTCATTATTTTAAATAATTATAGAATATATACCGACTTTTTGTACATAAATATTTTTAGATTCAATAATGATTTACGGTTTTTTTCAAAACTTATAATTTTCCAATGAGTGGTAGAATCTTCGATTTAATTGATTTAGAATGGTTAAATCAAGCTAATCAACAAATTCAAAGCGGTATTAACGTCGAAACCGTTCTCCAAAATGTCCCTTTAACAGATGGAAGAATTCTTCAGACAAAGTTTTTGAACTTTGTATAAGTTCTCCAAAATGTTAAACTATTCAGACAAAGTTTCCCGCTGTTTGCGAAGGAATTGTTGGCTATGATGTACTGATTCATGATCAGTGCATCATAGCCAACAATTCCTTATACAAAGTTCAAAAACTTGGGTGCAATCAGAACTGATTGCACCCAAGTTTTTGAACTTTCTCGAGGGAATGAAAGGGTAAGAGGTATACATTATGAATATATACCTCTTACCCTTCCATTCCCTCTCTGACAGCGGGAAACTTTGTCTGAATGTTAAACTATTCAGACAAAGTTTCCCGCTGTTTGCGAAGGAATTGTTGGCTATGATGTACTGATTCATGATCAGTGCATCATAGCCAACAATTCCTTATACAAAGTTCAAAAACTTGGGTGCAATCAGTTCTGATTGCACCCAAGTTTTTGAACTTTCTCGAGGGAATGAAAGGGTAAGAGGTATACATTATGAATATATACCTCTTACCCTTCCATTCCCTCTCTGACAGCGGGAAACTTTGTCTGAATGTTAAACTATTCAGACAAAGTTTCCCGCTGTTTGCGAAGGAATTGTTGGCTATGATGTACTGATTCATGATCAGTGCATCATAGCCAACAATTCCTTATACAAAGTTCAAAAACTTGGGTGCAATCAGAACTGATTGCACCCAAGTTTTTGAACTTTCTCGAGGGAATGAAAGGTAAGAGATATCCATTTCCTTTCACCTTCGTTCTCAATAATTAACTTATAAATTTTTTAAAGCAAAAAAAGTCTGATTTTTTTTGACAAGTAAATATATAGGGAATTTATCCGACCAAATAAGTGTCACTTTTTCGGTTCACCTCACTTTCCGTAACTCGTCTTACAACAAAACAAAGTTCAAAACCCGACAGTAATGGTTGACTTTTTCTTGTCGAATTTGCCTTATGTTTCAACTATGATATCTCTTCAAGCAATTGACGAATTCATTATTTGCTGTGAACCAAACTTAAGAGAACAGTTATATGAAACACTCAAAGACTTTCGTCCTTATCCTTTAACTTACAATTGGAAAGAAGATGAAAACAAACACGGTTCTTTCTCCTGGAATCTTTCCATTGTTGCTCCAGTTGGTGTAGCTGCACATCCATTCGAAATATATCCAAAATTGCATTACGAAAACAATATGCATATTATAACAACAGCCGCTTTAGATATTATTGAACGGATACCAGATGGAGAAGAAGTTTCAATAATATCTGTTCAAGCAAACCGAGTTGCAATGCCACTTACAGTATGCAATTTCACTCACTCAAGCAGACAATTCTATCAAAATCTTGAGTTCGTTTTTACTGGCACAGCCAAAATGCTTCTCAAAAAACCAGAACAAACCAAAATAACCATCTTCTTATCTGGTTATTGTGAAGATGAAGACAATTCGGACGAAGAAGAAGAGGAGGAGGAAACAAGCGAAGACCCAGACGATATCCAGTTCATTTCCATCCGTAAAAAACATTAAAGCAAACATTTCAGAATAAAAATTCTAATTTTAATCTAAATAAATTCTTTTCTATATGGGCTAGAGGGCGCAACGCGCCTGGAAGCCCCACTACCTTTTTTTTTTTTTTTGAACATATTTTTTGCTTTCACAACAACTATTATTCAGATTGAAATTAATCGGATTAGAAAGAAAATAATTTTGACAAAAAAATGGTTTTAATTCAACTCAATAACCATATACTTCAGAGGATAAATAATTATCAATCTCTTGAGAAAGTTATACTTACAATCAATAACGTTGAAATCTCACTTACTAAATCATTGGCAGTTGCAATTTCACAAACTTTTTATTCACAATATCTTTTGGATAACGACATTTCTAAAATTGATATCCAAACAGAAGTAGTATCACAAGAAACATATAATGTAGGGCTGTACAAGATTTAAAAAAACATTGCCGGGTTACCGTAGAGGCCTAAAAAAATCGCGCCTCGGCGGCAAGCCGCCTCGGCATTAAGAATGCGCATCTAAATTTTTATATGTCCTTCTTTCTTTTATTTTTCCCTTCCCTTTCTTTTCTTTTTCTTTTTTTTCCCTCCTCTTGCTCTCATTTACCTTTTTTTCCTTTTCTCATCATTTTTCAAAATTTTAAATTTTTATCAAAAATCTTGCCTATAAAAGCAGACTATGGAACCTTTTAATGCCTCTTAATCAATATTATACAGCATAAAGCATATTAAATGAAAGTAATTACGTATAAATTTATTTTATTATCTTATTTATTAATTCTTTAGCATGTATTGTTTAATATTAACTTTTCTGTACATTAAATATGATATCTCCAAAGTATGAATGCCTTGTAACGAAACGAAAACTTAATTTTATGTTGAATATTTGTCACAAACATTAGATTATTAAAATATATGTTGGATATCCCTTAGTATGAGACTTCATGACTCTTGTAGTCTAACGTGAGCTTTGGATTGCAAGCTCTGTGGTTAACGAACATAAATTAATTGTAAAGTTTTCAAAATTTTTCATCGTTTCTATCAGCATCTATTTTTCCTTTAAAATAATATATTTGTATGAATACAATATTTAGTAATTTTTTTATTTCCCATAATTTCATTCAAAATTTCAGAAAAAATTAATTTCTATTCAATATTATTTCAGCTTCAAAACACTTCATTCTTATAGATGTTGATTCACTAAAGTGTGATACTCAATGTCTTATTTCAATGAAAATTGTTCTGCAAATTTATTTCACTTTTGACCTCACTTTTTCCGTAATTCAATTTTTTACTTTTAATATTTAGATCTTCATAATATCATTTGAAAATTAACCATATAAAAAATCAAGTTAACAATTCACTTTTTCCGTAATTCAAAATCAAAAATATAAATAATATATCTTTTTATCAAATATTATTATTATATTCTATGAAAAATGAGGTCCGGAAATTTTGCGGATTCCCGTAACTCAAT